TTAAGTGTGGCAATTTTACCTTAGACTTCCTGGTGGATGATTCTCCAAGCACTGCTTGTACAACACAGTGAATTTAGGGTATTCTGGATCACTATGGGATAGCACTTCTTAGAAATTCCTATATTGAGAATGATAAGAATAAAATTTCTCCTCTAGTATTTGAGACATCATAGATTCTTTTTCAGGGCCCTTTGAGAAAAGGATGAGGACAAATAATTTACAGTTTAAATATCTTACATATTTTAGGTTTTTTTTTAATGTTTGTTTAATGAAGGAATGTATGAATCAATAAAACACATAGCCAAAACCGGTTTGGCTCAGTGGATAGAGCGTCGGCCTGCGGACTGAAAGGTCCCAGGTTCGACTCCGGTCAAGGGCATGTACCTGGGCTGCGGGCACATCCCCAGTAGGAGATGTGCAGGAGGCAGCTGATCGATGTTTCTCTCTCATCGATGTTTCTAACTCTCTATCTCTCTCCCTTCCTCTCTGTAAAAAATCAATAAAATATATTTAAAAAAAATAAAAAAAAATAAAACACATAGATGCCATTTAGCTGGTTCTGAAAAATTAACTATATCCCATTAACATAGGAAGAACTACTAGAGTCACGGAACTCTTTAACTTTATAATCTTTTATCATTGTAATATTAAAATCTTTAGGAATAGATTTGATATTTATGAACTTATGTTGAACAAAAATTAAATTATAATAAATCCTCTTCCCCGCCGCCCCCTCCCCCCCAAGAAAAGCTAATAGAGCAAGATTTTTCCCTTTTTCTTTCCACCCCACGGAAGTGGGAGGTGGGGATACGGTGCACAGTATGAGAAGCGTGTAGTGTCCTGCAAAGAGCATGGCCATTGCAAATCAAACCACCTGAAGGGGTCACATCCATTTCTGCTATTTATCATATGACTGATCTTGGGCCCATTAAGTTACTCTTCGAGTTTTTAAAAATGAAGATAATGCTTAATTGGCAAAGTTACTGTAAAGATTAATTAAGGAGTAGAAAGCATGTAAGAGCAACTGCAGAGAATTAACTTGATAATCCTAGCTATTACTCTTACATTTGGGCATTTTTATTTTTGACATTTAGCAAGAAAAAAAGAGTTATGTTAATTTTGTTTGTATTTATTTATTTTTTTAAAATATATTTTTATTGATTTCAGAGAGGTAGGAAGAGGGAGAGAGAGATAGAAACATCAATGATGAGAGAGAATCATCGATCGGCTGCCTCCTGCACGCCCCCCACTGGGGATCGAGCCTGCAACCAAGGTACATGCCCTTGACCAGAATCGAACCTGGGACCCTTCAGTCTGCAGGCCGACGCTGTATCCACCCGAGCCAAACCTGTGGATATATATATATATATAATAAATACTTGTAAAAGTATTGGGTTTTTAGGCCACCAACAGATTTACAATATATTTTTTTTAATATATTTTATTGATTTTTTACAGAGAGGAGGGGAGAGGGATAGAGAGTCAGAAACATCGATGAGAGAGAAACATCGATCAGCCGCCTCCTGCACACCCCCCACTGGGGATGTGCCCGCAACCAAGGTACATGCCCTTGACCGGAATCGAACCTGGGACCCTTCAGTCCGCAGGCCAACACTCTATCCACTGACCCAAACCGGTTAGGGCCATTGATGTTTCTATCTCTCTCTCTCCTTTCCTCTCTGAAATCAATAAAAATATATTTTAAAAAATGAGCTAGAATAGATTCTATTTAAGATACTAAAAAGCTCTTCTTTAATTTAAAGACATAAGAAAAAGTGACATTGTTATATCTTATCTGCCCAAATTCATCAAATAAACATTTATTTTTAAGTTCAAGGCACGGTGCTAAAAAACCAAGGGCCAAAAAAAGCATAAGAATTCTTTTCCTAAAGGAAAAGGAAAGTAAACAATTATTATAAAATATGGTATGCAGAATTAAAGAGATAGAGAGTACAGCAAGCATGCCAAACTCAAAGGCTAACATGAGCCAAATAAACAAGGTTTAAGTTTATGTGGCCTGAAAAACCCAAAAGCTTAAATTTTCATGGAAACGTAGGTTTATTCCCATAGAGACATGCTGAATAGAAACGGCTGAAATAAATGAGTAATCGTTAACATAAAATAATAGAACATTTTAATTAAAATTAGTATTTTTCTTGAACATTAACTTACCAGACACTGAGTAACTGCACAAATTAATAAGCGTAATGCAAATAAGCCTATTTTCCTTGTTCTCCGAAAGTGCACACCAAACAAGTCAGTCCGAGACTAATGACGTGGCAATCGGCTGCTAAAATATTCGCTGCTGGTATTAGTGGAGAGAAATGGTGCGCCTGCGCATAAGGCACATAAGGGAAACGAATGCTACACAATTATAGTAATCAGTCATTATTGAATGTTGTAGTTCGTTATTAATAATTATGTATAACAGCCCTGGCCGGTTTGGCTCAGTGGACAGAGCATTGGCCTGGGGACTGAGGGGTCCCGAGTTCGGTTCCAGTCGGAGGCGCATGCCCAGGTTGTGGGCTTCAACCCCAGTGAGGGGTGTGCAGGAGGCAGCCGATCCATGATTCTCTCTCATCATTGATGTTTCTATCTCTCTCCCTCTCCCTTCTTCTCTGAAATCAATAAAAGTGTATTTTTAAAAAATGATGTATAACAGGATATTGTAAAAATTAAGGTATGAAATTGTTATTAAAACGTCTCTTATATATCGTTATATTGGCTGGGCTGCAAAAATATTCATTGTGGGCCAGGAATTTGACATGCTTGGAGTACAGAGTACATAGTTCAGATTATTATGATGGAACAGCGAAAACTTTTTGGAATGAGGGGCATCTGAATTGAAAATTCACAATGTCTTCCGAAAAGCTAGCTTTCTTTATTTTTAAATAAAAAATCTTTATTGTTGAAAGTATTACATATGTCCTCTTCCCTCCCTCCCCGCTCCATTGACTCCTAGAGCCCCACCCCCTCCTCCAGGCCTTCACCACACAATTGTGTGCCCAGGGGTTACGCATATATGCATACAAATTCTTTGGTTGATCTCTTCCCACCCCCTCACCCCTGCCTTCCCTCTGAGATTCCATAGTCTGTTCCATGCTTTTATTCTCTGGATCATGAAAAGCTTTCATATCATAATCTAACCCTGAGATTTATTAATAGTTATTATGGTAAGAAATAATAAAATAAACTTTTTTGAAGAGTATTTTTAGAAGTAAAAGGAAAGAGGGAAAAAATTAAGGATTTGGAGGAAGACTTCCTTAATTTCTTTATCACTGTACTTTTTATTTCTTAAATTAGCTCTATATTTTTCTACATCTATGCCTATCCACACCAATATTCTAATCTGGATATTCAATCATTATTCCCTTGTATTAAAATATATAGATATGACAAATGAGGTTAATTGAATTAACTTATGAAATGCTTTTAGATTAGTAGAGTTGAAAAAATGTTTTTCTTCTAGCATCTTAGGAGGAAATAAATTATGTCTGCCAATTAAATTTTTTTTTTAAAAGATTTTTTATTGCTCTTTAGAGAGGAAGGGAGAGGGAGAAACATTGATCGGCTGCTTCTAGCACATACCCAACTCCGGATTGAGCCCGAAACCCAGGCATTACAAACCTGACTAGGAATTGAACCAGCAACCTTTTGGTGCACAGGAGGATGCCCAACCAACTGAGCTACACCAGCCAGGGCAAGTTAATTTAGTTTTAATGAAATAATCAGGGTATCCTGTATTTAAGATGCATGCTGGAGAAAGACCATTTTAACAAACCTGTGTTGCAGAAAGTCATATATAGTGTTAGAAGATGTACCCAAATGTAACCAGGGGAAGGAGATTTGGGTTTTTAGGCCACCAACAGATTTACAAGTATTCATTATCAAAGGCTTTTTCTGTTCTCTCACATTCACTAATAGCCTATGCTAATGTGACTTTCAAAGAACACATTGAACAGATAGTATTCTCTATTCAAATCTACTAAGATAATAACTGATATGCATACCAGTGGTTCTTCACTAGGTGGGGGTGTTTTGTCCCCAGGGGACAAAAGACATTTTTAGTTATCACAACTGAGGAGGGGGTGCTACTGTCATCTAGTGGTGGAGGGCAGAGATGCTGCTACATATCCCACAATTCAAAGGACTGCCCCTTACTCCCACCTGAATAAAGAATTATCCAGCCACTAGGTTAGTAGTAATTGAGAAAAACCTGATAAATCTCTCCCTCGTCCTCTAGCCCTCTTTTCCTTTATAGTGTATCTCTTGAATGAGAAATGGAGCATGGTTTATGACAAGAGAGAAAATCGTACTGAGATGTGAGAGAGAAACATCAGTCGGTTGGTTGCCTTGCGTATGTGCCTCCAGTGGGCATCTAACTGGCAACCTAGGTATGTGCCCTGACTGAGAATCGAACCCACAATCTTTGGTGTACGGACGATGGTTCAAGCAACTGGGCCACCCAGCCAGGACCTTTCCACCAAATTTTTATTTGACCAATGAAATAACAAACTTTTTCTTTCTTTAAAATTTTTTAAAAAATTCATTTTAGAGAAAGAGAGGGAGACAGAGAAACATTGATTTTTTGTTCCACTTATTTGTGCATTCATTGGTTGATTCTGTGTGTGCCCTGACTGGAGATCAAATCACAACCTTGGTGTATTGGGACATTCTCTAACCAGCTGAGCTACCTGACCTGGACAGGGGAAATAACAAAGTTTCTACCAGATTTTATTGGTTAATATAATATCAAATACATGATATCTGACCACCATTACTGAGCATTTGAAGGGCTTCCTAATAGATTTCATAAGCAATTCTTAATTTAAAAAAATGCTTCCATGGTATTTGTGTTATATTTAAACTTGAAATTTATATTGTTAGAAAATATATTAACCAATATAACAGCTGTACATTTATGAGCCACACAATTTAAAAAACCTTAAAAATGATGAAAGCTACAAATTTTAATCAGTCTATAGTATATTTATTTTGTAACAAAATAGATAAAACCAAGTATTAAAGTATACTATTGTTTGCATTTTATACATATTAATTATTATGCTGAAATCTGGTAATTTAACATTCAGTGAAAATAAATTTTATATTAATTGTTTTAAAAATGGCAAGCACATGATTAAGATAAACTTTTTGTTCATCAGAAAAAGAACTTTGGGAGTAAATAACGATATAGCAAATCCATTCAAAACCTAGGTCTTCATCTTTTGTTTCTTGGACCACTCGGGTGCTTCCTTTTTGGTCTGTTAAAAAGAAAGAGAGAAAATTAAGTAAAATGTTTACTAGGAGGGTAAGAAAGGCAATTCATAGAACTCTGTACCAATATGCATTGGGGCTTTTTATGTAAGATTACAGTAAATAATCACTTTTCCTAATTCAGAAGGATACTTTAGGGACAAAGGTTTTATGTTTTGTAAGAAATAATCTCCCACCTGGTATGTCTGTAGAAAAAATACACATCTGTGTTTTCTGGCTCAAAGCCTGTATTTAACATATCTTACGGAAGTGAGTATCAAATGAATTGTTTCTATTTTCAAAGAGAATTATAAAAAAAAATCAAGGACACAGCTTCTTTTTTTGTCAGTCTCATCTATCTATATATATGGACATTCATTCATTCATTCAATAAATATTTATTAAATAATGACTAGATCCAAATCACTGTGCTTTGGATCTCCTGAATTGCTAAGTATTTACCACAGTACTTCTGGGGTTCACTGCTCAATCATTTCAGTGTACAAAGAGCTTGGCTGTACAGAGTAGTAACAAAAAGGCAAAGGAGGTAGACTTACAGAACAAAGTACTCAGAACTCCTTATACAGGGCACTACATAGGCAGTCAAAACAGCTTACTATAATCGCGTAGCATTCGTTTATATATGACAATATGTTAAATATGAAGCTTACTGCTTTCCACTTCCATCTGTTAAAAATTATAAAGGACTACATTCCTAAATATATATACATATATGTATGTAGGCACATAGGTAAGTATGATACTTATAAGTTTATGTTTTTTATAATTTTATATGCCATAGTTGATACATAAAATGTTGGAAGTGACATCAGTGGTCAGCTTTTCTTGACCTATCCACGCCCTTGGCCAGCTTCAGTTACCACCAAATACCTCCCCTCCTCCCCACATTGCCACCTTTATAGCATAGTTCTAACCTGAGCTACAAATGCTTTTACACGGTGTTCCCCACAGGCAACTAAAATTCAGTATGTCAAAACGAACCCTGAATCATCCATATTCTTTCTTGGTAAATGGTACTAGACTTTGCTCAGTCGCTTCAACCAGAAATGTTCTTTTCTTTTTCATCTTAGATTTCTCCTTTTTTTCACTTGCTACATCCATTTTAAATAGTCCCTACCTTTTACTGAATATCCTTTAAACTCCTCATTCTGTTCCTATTTTGACCCCATTGGCTTACCTTGGGCTCTTATCATTTCTGGCTTAATTCCTGCCATAGTTTCCTAACTCTGATTTGGCTTTCTCTTCTATTCTGTTCAACTCATAGTCCACGATCTGTCCAAGCTTATCTTTCTAAAATGCAAAACTGCATTAAAACACTTCAGAGTTCTTTCTTGGAAAGAAAAGTCCAAAGTCCTTAGTATTAAAGGAGAAAGAAATTTCCATGATAGGGAAAGGCCAGGTGCTGTCTACCAAGAGAATTCAAAGGTGGCTGAGCTGAATGCTAGTTTATTACCGGGTGATGAGAAATGTAATTGTCCTTTGGCCAGGAATGCCTGTTACTTTTGCCAGTCTTATTTAAAAAAATTTTAAACTAAGTCACAGACCATAAAGAAAAATCAGAGTAAAATTGGGGAGTTGCTTACTTCTCTTATAATCAGATTGAGAGGTTTGGGTGACTGAAGAAAGGTGAGTCAACAATAATCTAAGATTCTCACAATCACAGTCACAGAAGAACCAGTGTTTGTGAAATTGTAGATCTCTTGAATTATACCTCAATAAAACTGGAAGGAAAGAAAACTGTAGCTTTTTAATCCATGGGTAAGGAAATCACTTTAAGACCAGATTTGAGAAAGAAAAAAAAATCACACAGACTAGAATACAAAATATCAGAGTACCTTGCCATTGTAGGGGTTAAATTGTGCTCTGAGAAACTGTGATCTTCACTAAGTCATGATGTAAAATGGTTTTCTTAAATGTGGCTCCTGGACAAAAAAAAAATCTAAAAGCCACTTCTACACACCAAGTTACAGACCGTCCAGCTTACAGCAAAGGGTATATAGAATTTGCACATCTCCACTTTCTCAGTCAACTGATACTAAAAGTTTTATTACTACTATGTATGTTTGGGAAGAAGCTAAATAAAACTTTTGATATTAAAAAGGAATCTTAAAACTCCAAAGGACAGTACAAGAATTCAATGGCAGACAGTTCTTCTGATTCCTTTTATCTGTGTTGGTCCCTTGCAGACCACCCTCCCTCCAGTGCATTCTTTCTTCAGATGTGTTAATGAAGTAGATTTGCCACAAGTGTACCTCTGTCCTGAGGATTAACTGCTTTTCTACTTCCTAAATGGATTTTTCAGATCTTTGATTAAAATTAATTTTATAGCCTGCTCCCACAGGACTAATGCATGTTCCTATCCCTAGGTTACTGTGGGGCACCTCACTTTCACTGTCATGTTCTAACTACTTCAATTTAGAATACAGGGCCCCTTAGCATCGGGCCCACACTTCTCTAATCCTGTCTCTTGACACTCTCCTACATCAACTAAATTATTTGTAGTTGAGATTGGTTTAATAGCACTTCATTGAGCACCTACTATGTGCCAGTTCCTTGTTTTAAGTGATGGGGATATAAAAATGAGTTAAGACCTTGTGACAAAACCTGCTGGCTGCCTGGCCTTATCCACTTTCCCCTTCTTAATAAGAGAACTCTAATTTTATTAGAGTAAAGGGCTCACCCAGGTAAAAACTACGTTAATCAACCTCCTTTGCTACTAAGTATGGCCATGTGACTAAGTTCTGGCCAATAGGATGTGAGTAGATGTTGGTTAAAACTTATGGAAACGCTTTTAGGAGGGAGATGGTATAGTCCCCATTTCTGCTTCCTGCTTACGATGCAGATGTGATGGCTGAGGCTACAGCAAGCATATTGTGAATCTGAGGACAGAAGCCACACACCAAGGATGGTTGAAGAGAAAGGCAGAAGTAACTTAGTTCCCTGATGACTCCAAAGGGCCAAATATTAGGCCTTTAATGCTTATCTGAGAGACTGAACAATTTGCTTAAGCCACTGAACTAGCAGTGGAAAACAATTCCTGGATATTGACACTTAACCTTTAAAAAGTTAGGGTTTATTTTGTTTCATGTTTATCTTAGCACTCAGGAAAGTGTCTGGCCCCAGTAGGTACCCGAATGCCACACTTCCTTTGATGTTTGTGGCTTGAGCACAGTTCAGCACAGTGGTTAAAGAACAAGTTCTGGGATGAAACAGGCTTCATCCATTCATTTGCAAACCTGGGAAAGTTGATGACTTCTCAGTTATCTCTTGTGTAATCTATAATAATAAAAGCATAATATGCTAATTAGACCAGATGTCCTTCCAGAGTACCTTCCAGACGAAGCCAGGGCTGTGAGAGAAGCCTGGGTCCTGGGTGCCAGAGGGAAGCCGGTGCCGGCAGCTGGGGGAAGGAAGGCCTACTCTTGCACAAATGTCGTGCATCGGGCCTCTAGTATGGAGATAATAAAAAATAATTGTGCTGGATATTCTGGGTACCCTCAGATCTATTCTCCATCCTTGTCCACCCGCTCTTGTGCCCAGGAAGCTGACAGTGGTGCCTTCTAGTTTCTGAAATAGGTTTAGTCAATGGGCTTGTAGGTGGGAGGAGAAAGAAATTGTGATATTTATTCCCGAGCTCCTTCTTTGCCTGGCCATGTTTAGTATGGCTAAATTCTCTTATAGGAGACCAAAGTTTCCATAAGAAGGCTCCGATCCCTCTCCTTGCACCTTGAGACCTAGGAGTGACAAAAGCGTCAGCTACTAGTCCTGAAATGTTCCCCCTCACGTGGTTTCCACATGCTTGTAAACAGTCCCTTCAGAATGTGACATCTATTTGGCATGAGGACCTTGTCTGATACAGTAACCTACATCAGAGGGTGTCGAGGGAATAAAATGAGAAAATGTATGCAGAAAGCACTTAGTCCCTAAGAAGTGCTAACTATGAACAGTATTTCCCACTTAATGTTCTCTCTGCCTGAAGAGCTCACTCCTATTTGTTTTTCAGGACTCAGCTCAAAAATCGCCTCCTCTAAGAAGCTTGCCTTGATACATCCAGGCTTCTTTTGGTGTTCCTTTTTAAGAACTTAAAGCCTTCAATACTTAACTTGTTATATCATTCTTACAATTGTTTACTTGAATCAGTCACTCAATAAACTGTGTATTCCTTAGAGTCATACATAATGAATAGATTTATTTTTACTGTCATTTTAAAATCTAAATGCTTTATATATTAATGACATAAAGTATTTAGTGGCGGATCCCTATATTATCCATAATTTTGACACTGAGTACAATTAGATTTTTGAATATTTAGTAATTCTTAGCCATACAAGAATGTGAGAATGTGGCAAAAATCTTTATATCCTTGTTGCCCAGAACAGTACTTGGCACAAGGAGGTGCTTGATAAACATTTTTTGAATAAATAAATGAATGAATGCTGTTTTGGTCTGCTATGACAGAAGCCTCACAGTTCTATATAAGTGTGGACATAAAGTCTCATGAGAGTCTACATTCAAGAGTTTCCCCTACATAATGTGACAGAAAATGCCTCTACAGTAACACAACAATATGGTTCCAATAATTGGACAACAACCACCCTGCATGGCGGGCAGTATTTATCATTCTCAGTAACACTGGGATTATTCAGTGGTAGTGACAATAACCAGTAAAACAGGGAAGTAGTATAGTCTGTTGTATGAATTAAAGTTCACTGATCTGCTCAATCTTTCTAGATAAACTTCTGCCTTCAGTCATATGACCGTCTGAAATTCAGGTGACCTGTTAATAGACTATGTCACGGTGGTTTCTCATTTACATCAGTATCTATGTTTAATCACTACTAAATTCAAATAAATTCCAACGCAGATAACAGTGATTTTGGAAAGTTGATTTCTTATTCTCATGAGATGCATATTCCTCATTTCTAAATATTTTATCAGTAAGGCACTATCTATCCTAAGTTTCAGATACTGGAAGCTTCTAAGCCTCTACCAGCTCTTGATTAGTACTGAGCAAGGAGCGTAAGTGAGATCACTGATTGGCAAATTATGGCCCCTGGTCTGTCTGTGTTTGGATTGCCTGCTAAGAATGGATTTGACATTTAAAAAAAAACAAAAACAAAAACAAAGAAACAAACAGGATATGCAACAGAGATTGTATGTAGCTACAAGCCTAAATAGTTACCGTCTAGATCTTTAAAGAAAAATTTGCCGACTCCTAATAGATGACTGTTTAATCAATTGGGCATAATAAATCAATTCATGTACACAATTAACTGGTTTTTATCTTGGTAACTCCACTCTTTAACCTATTTAAACAGTAGTGTTTCTTTTATATTAGCATATTAAAAAGATTATTTATCCTTCACACCCATAAGCTGGCACTTCATGTAACAAATTTTGTTATTCTTCTTCAGTTATTTTTTTATTTTTTTAGAGAGGGAAGGGAGAGGGATAGGAGAGATAGAAACATTAATGATGAGAGAGAATCATTGATCAGCTGCCTCCTGCACGCCCCTTACTGGGGATCGAGCCCGCAACCTGGGCATGTGCCCTGACTGGGGAATTGAACCTGTGACCTCTTGGTTTCTGGGTCGAAGCTCAATCGCTGGGCCATACTGGCTGGGCTAATTTTGCATTATCACCACACAGTCTTGATTTGACCATTTTACAGTATTATCTCTCAGTTTTCATAAGGACATAGCTGAACTCGTACCTCTTTTAAAACATTTTCTCTTATAAAAGAAATAAAGTTTATTGTAGAAAAATAGATAAGCGCAAAGAAGGAAATAAAACTACCTAATTAATACTTAATATTTTGATTCTTCTTCATTTCATTCTCACTGCATAACCTTATCTTGAGGTACTGGCGAAATCTTACTACTACTTATGTACCAGTTAGAGTCAGGATTTCAGGATATCAGAATCAAGTTACAAGCTAAGGTCAGAAATGTGGGAGGTCAGGGTCAGAAGAAATAGTTCATTGCTTAACACAGAGAAGGGTCAGCAAAGCAGATCCCAGAGGGTGATAGGCTAGATCTCCGGCTGTATCTTGTGGTTTTCATCGGACCCCATGTTTCCCATTAACATCTACGTCTTCCATCTGCTTTCTTCCTGTAGATTGTAATATAAGGGACACATCAGAGTGTCTGTCATAATCCCAGCCAACTTTCTAAGAAAATCTTGCCTGGCAATGATCCTTGTGAATAAACAGCCCTGGGCAGCTTTACTTGGTGCCACGTGACCCCTGCTCACTATAATGGCAGCCATTCAGTAGGCTGGCTAATACCCATCACAAGTCTGGCCACAAAGTGTATCACCCAACAAGGATGAGCTGTGCCAATTAGATTCTTGCTCCAGGAAATACAGGGAGGACTAGGTGTTAAGAGAGTAGATGTGGGAAGGTACACAGAAACGTCTCAGGAGAAGGAGCCATGAGCAAGTTAATGAGGAAGTGGAAAATACGAATAACCAGAAACTGAGAGAGAAACAAAAAGAAGCTGACGTGCCACTAGAGGAAAAGATCCACAGACGCAGCTGCAGAAATTCGTATAGCTGCCTTGTATCCAGGCTGGTAAACTGAGGCTGCCTGTTTTCTCCATCCTGTCAGCTTGGTCTCTATTATTGTCATATAGATTCTTACAAGAGTTACCCTTATTTACTCTAGATTGTAACTCTGTCACTTTTAAAAATTTTAATTAAAAAACATTTTTATTGATTTCAGAGAGGAAGAGAGAGACAGAAACATCAATGTTGAGAGAGAATCATTGATTGGCTGCCTCCTGAATGCCCTCTACAGCAAGCATGTCAAACTAGCAGCCCATACGGCCCACAACGAATATTTTTGCGGCCCAGCCAATATAATGGTATGTAAGAGGCATTTTGATAAAAATTTCATAACTTAATTTTTACAATATCCTGTTATACATAATTATTAATAAGGAACTACAATGTTCGTTAATGACTGATTACTATAATCGTGTTGCATTCATTTCCCTTATGCGCCTTATGGCAGGTCCACCATTTCTCTCCACTAATACTAGCAGCGAATATTTCAGCAGCTGATTGCCACGCCATTAGTCTTGGACTGACTTGTTTGGTGTGCGCAACAGGAAATATTTTGCTTTCGGAGAACAAGAAAAATAGGTATATTTGCGTTATGCTTATTAATTTGTATAGCTATTCAGTGTCTGGTAAGTTAATGTTCAAGAAAAAAATATCAATTTTTATTAAAATGTTCTATTATTTTATGTTAACAATTACTCATTTATTTCAGCCCTTTGTAGTCAGCATGTCTCTATCGAAATAAACCTATGTATCTATGAAAATTGAAGCTTTTGTTTTTTTTGTGGCCCACATAAACTTAAACCTTGTTTATTGGCTCGTGTTAGCCTTTGAGTTTGACATGCTTGCCCTACAGGGATCAAGCCCACAACCCAGGCATATGCCCTGACCAGGAATTGAACCGTGACCTCTTGGTTCATAGGTCTATACTCAACCATTGAGCCACTTCAGCTGGCCATTTCTTTTTTACTTTAAAAGGTTGAACAATGTAATCACCTCATTGATCTTGAGTAGCATTATCTGAATGTATAATGAAAGAGCTTAGATCAGAAGCTCCCATACTTGACTGATTATTATAATCATCTAGGGAGTTTAAAAAGAATAAGATTCTGAGGACTCACTAAATCAGAATATCACAGTTAAAATCTGTTTTCAAGTCTCTATGTTCAGATGGCAAATATATTTCTTCTGAGAAATTAAAGCATGCATGGGAAACCATGCTGAAGTACAGTGAAATATTTAATAATGTTACTCCTATTTTGATTCTGTTGCCTATCATTATTCCTACTATTTGTTAAAACATCACTTTCAAATTGTTCTAATTTCTTATTATTTAACTAATTTCTGTGCATATACATTTCTACCTAATATAAGCATTCCATTTAATGTTAATATGATTGATTTCATACTTTATGAGGAAACAGAGCAAAATATACTGTTTTACAAATAAAAGGTGCTGGATGATACTTTGCATCCCTTTTATTCTTTAAAAAAATGTATTTATTTTTATTTTTATTAATTTCAGAGAGTAAGGAAGAGAGAGACAGGAACATCAATGATGAGAGAGAATCATCGATCGGCTGCCTCTTGCACGCCCCACACTGTGGATGGAGCCCACAACCGGGCCATGTGCCCTGACTGGGAATCGAACTCTGACCTCCTGGTTCACAGGTCAATGCTCAACCACTGGCCCACACTGGCTGGGCAATTCTTATATAAATTAAACATTTATAAACATGTCTTCCTGACTCCCCTATAATTAGTCCCTGGAGACTTAAGGAGGTAAATTTGAGATTAAGGTTAATTTCTGGGCAAGTCCAACATATTAACTAGAACAATAAAACCTAATTACTAGCTATAAGATAGGATATATAAATATTCTATTGAAGCTTCCCTTTTCTGAATATGTATACCAGTCATACAGATATTTCTAGGCCCTTTCATTAAACTACTAAAATTAGTTTAAAACCAATATGAACAAGAGGCAAAGAGATTTAAGTAAAATGTATTTAGTGAAAAACAGAGATTAAAATTTTAAGTTGTTTTTTCTTTTTGTACTTACAAAGAGTGTTGGTTTGGGTATGAATATATTATCTTCATGTTCTCTAGGCACATTCAAAATCTTTGATTTTTGATTTTCTGTCACATTTTTTAATTCCGTTTTAGTAAGAAGTAACCTGTCCTCAGAACACTGACTGCGCATATTAGTGAGAATCTGCTTCATTGCTGCCAATTCCTGTTGATATATGAAAATAGAAGAAAACAGCAAGTATGATTTCAGCACATCCATAATAATAAAAGCGTAATATGCTAATTAGTCCAGACGTCCTTCTGGACGTCCTTCCAGACGACCTTCCGGATGAAGCTGGGGCTGCGAGGGAAGCCCGGGTTCCAGGTGTCAGAGGAAAGCCGGTGCCGGCAGCTGGGGGAAGGAAGGCCTACTCTTGCACGAATTTCATGCATTGGGCCTCTAGTAGACTAATAAGGATTGACATTAAAACTTATTTTTACACATATGTAATACCTTAATCAATAAAGAAATTAAAGATTGAAAAAAACGCCGAAACCGGTTTGGCTCAGTGGATAGAGCGTAGGCCTGCGGACTGAAAGGTCCCAGGTTCGATTCCGGTCAAGGGCATGTACCTGGGTTGCGGGCACATCCCCAGTAGGAGATGTGCAGGAGGCGGCTGATTGATGTTTCTCTCTCATCGATGTTTCTAACTCTCTATCTCTCTCCCTTCCTCTCTGTAAAAAATCAATAAAATATATTAAAAAAAAAAAGATTCGAAAAAACAACAACCCCAAAACACTTATTTTTATTCTTGGAGTAGAAACAGTTGAAACAATTATACTATATAAAATAACATATTAATGAACAATAGCATACATGACACACATGGTCACTGATAGTTTTAGTATGATAAACAAGAAATGTCATCCCATAGTCTAATGGTTCCTAAGTTTTTCTGCACATTGGAGTCACCCATGGAGCTTCAAAAACGACTGAAGCCTGTGTCTCACTCCCAGAGATTGTAAAATAATTGGGTTGGGGAGTGACCTCAGCATTGAACATTTTAAAAGATCTCTAGGTGATTCTAAGGACAGACAAATTTGGGAACCATTGGCATAGTTACATTCCACTATAATTTTTCTACATGTTTGTTGAGTAAATTATTTAGGCATTTAACTTTTTCTACTCGTAAATTATACAATTTCCTTCTGAAATCTTATATGAAGATGGGAGGAAATAAAAGAGTCCAAATTTTTTTTCTTGCTTACTAATCAGCAGCCCAAATAATAAGTTGAAAACATCTTCAGAATATAACCATGTTATTCCCTATTGTCTTACAAATGAAAAATGGAGTTAGCTTTACCCAGTTGCTGTTTGGACTAAGAATTATTATCTGAACTTGTTAAGGAACTCAGGTAAAAAATTTTCACTCATTCCCTCTTCCAAATCTATTTTGTCTTTTATTTTTCTCTATAGTTGAACTGTTAGCACGTAACATTACTTAGTGGATATTTATGATTAATCACTAAATTGATCCAATCAAACACAAGCATATGGACAGAGGACAGAATAAACTCTCCTTTATTATATGTAGAACAGTGGGAGGCTGTTTATTTCATCTTCATGCCAAGACACAAACTTATGGTGATAGAAAGATGTTCTGCTCCCTTTTACTAATCTGTTTATAGACATCAGCTCTGTGTCAGAGCAAGTTCCTACAGGCCTTTTTTTCTTTCTGGCTGTCATTAGTTCTATTTAGAACCATCTAGCTTGAGTGGGTATTTAAAAACAGAGCTGTTGAGTTTAAGCCACAGAGCTTAATAAATCTTAGGGCCAAGCGAGGAGCTGGAAGAAATGGCACTGGAATCTTCTTTCTCCTTTTGCAGTACTGGGGTTGGCTAGGCCAATGCAAATGAGGATGGCTACATCTCAGACTTGGCCAATATTTGAGCCTTTTGAAGGCTCTTTTTGCTTTCAAGAGTATGTTATTTCATTTATATGCTCCCCTAGAGTGAAGTAAATGACCACCGATTTCCAGTAATGTTAAACATCCCTGGTATTATGGCAGCTTTCAGCTCCTGTTCTACTTACTACAAGAAGTAGAAGGGAAAGGGAGATGACAGTCTCTCGGCACATCCAAAGAAAATCTCTACCTGGAACAACCTCCCTTTAGTGGCCATAACTTTTTTTTATCTTGGTATGAAGGTTTAAAAAAAGGAAAAGATTATTCCCCCCACCACCTACCTCTAGTCTACAGATAATTAAGGAAAAGGGGATCATACTTGCAGGGGGGAGAGGGGAGGCAACGAGCATGAGGAAGAAGAAAAGGAAGAAGTTGCATGTGTACTAGGCAAAGGGTTTGGCCCCTAAGTGCCCTAGAGAAGACCATCTTTTGTTTCTCTTTGGCTTCCCTCTGCTACTGGTATAGGAGCAGTTACAGGAAAGAGATGGTCCCTGAAGTAGGAGACAGAAGAGAAATCAAATGTCTTTGCTTTATCCAGACGAGGATCACGCAAACTTAGGGTGCTGTCAAAGCACTGCTTTTTTTGAATATATTTTTATTGATTTCAGAGAGGAAGGGAGAGGGAGAGAGATATATAAACATTAATGATGAGAGAGAATCATCGATTGGCTACCTTCCGCACGTCACCCACTGGGGATTAAGCCTGCAACCTGGGCATGTGCCCTGACTGGGTATCAAACCCTGACCTCCTGGTTCATGGGTCTATGCTGAACCACCGAGCCACCCTAGCCAGGCTCAAGGCACTACTTTTGTTCACTGATAGTATTAAACAGTGCTAGCATGGTTTGTGAAACCCAGGTAAGGAACATTTCAAAAGCAACAAGTTTCTGTAAACTTCCTGTTAGGGTAATACAATGGGTATGAAAATAAAATGTAGAACAATCTTGTTCAGTTTTACTATATTTGATCATATAGATGATCCCTTTCATATTAATGGTAAATTTGAGAACAGAAAATTCCACTTTAACATCAAATAGATCAAATAGTATCCAAAATACCATCATCTACTGAACACACAGAAAGCCAAGCACATGTAGTGGAAATATATTAGTACTGGGTGAGAAGTCAAAGACACAGCTATTCCTGACTCTATTATTAATTGTGTAAATACAGACAATCTACTCTGGTTCAATGAGCTTCAGTTTCCTAATTGATAAAATGTATGCTTGTGTTACCTTTTTGGATTTTTGCCCGTCTGATAAGTTTTTGTGTATGTTTGTTTTGCATTTCTTCTACTGTGAGGTTGAACAGCTTTTCATATATGTAAGGATATTTCCTTTTCTACTGGGTGATTGGTCATTTTCTTACACTTTTCAAGGAGCTCTTTATATGTTAGAGATATCAGCCCTTTGTAACATGAATGGCACTTTTTTTCAATTAATTTTTATTTGACTTTATTTACACTTTTTTTTTTGCTATGCACTTTCTGATTCTGATGTAGCTGAATATGTCAGTTTCCAACTTATAGCCTTTTCCATGGTTCTTCTTCAATTTTCCTCAAGTTACTTTTATGGTTTCTTTTTCTTTTATTTTTCAAACATTTAGATCTTTGATCTGTTTCAAGTTTATCTGCACTCTGGTGATAAGTGTGGTGGATTGAACATTTTTTTCCCCATGGCTATTCTGTAATAACAACATTATGTACTGCATAGACAAATTTTTCCTCACTGATTTGAGATGCTAACTTTACCATATACTAAACAACCATAAATGTATGATTTATTTCTGGACTTTTAAATTCTATTCCAATGGTCTTTTTATTCATTCATGCACCAATGTTCTACTATTTTAATATTTTATGATTGAAGTGTTTTCTGGCTATATTCTTAGAGATAGGGGCTCAAAATCATGCCATTTATTCTAGTTCCTATTTCAATCTTGACTTTCTTATAGTTATTCCCCTTTCTTCTTTGAGTTCTGCCTTTTCCCCTTTAATGGATGAAATAATATATGCTCTTTAAAAAATATTACCTAAGAATATCTAGCTTCTTAATCATAATGTTTGCAGGAATCAATTTTGACTGTTTTTAAGGCCGCAGCACAGTTGTTATTCTGAAATTTATTTTTATTGCACATCTTTTTTAAAAAAAATTTACAGAGAGGAAGGGAGAAGGATAGAGTTAGAAACATCGATGAGAGAGAAACATCGATCAACTGCCTCCTGCACACCCCCCACTGGGGATATGCCCGCAACCAAGGTACATGCCCTTGACCGGAATCGAACCTGGGACCCTTCAGTCAGCAGGCTGACGCTCTATCCACTGAGCCAAACTGGTTAGGGCATTTATTGCACATCTTGGCAAGTTCCATTATTTCGTGCATCTCTTTTTTTGTTATTTGATGGCATACAGTCTAGTATGTTTTCAAGACAGGGTACTGTGGAAGGAAGTATTGTGCGTTCTTTCAGAACTTGGATGGGATTACTTCTCTGTTCCAAAGTCAAATTTCTGAGAAGTCTGATGTCAAGCTGATTCCTGTATCTTTCAACTATTTTTTTCTCTCTTGAATCTTCTATATTGTTTAGCTTCCATCTTTTTACCTTTTCTAAGTCTTAGGAGAATTCGCTGACTTTTGCTCACATCCTTCTACTGGCATTTTACTTAATACAGTAACTTCATGATTTTCATTGTATGTTATGATTTTAGCAAAATTTTAAAATATCACAAATTTTTACCCCCACTATTAGTTTGTTTATTTATTTATTTATTTTTACATGAATTGTGTTTTAATCTTGTTTGGTTATCTTTTGGGGGCTGATAATGCAGGCCTTTTCCTGACTTGACCCAGGGCTCTGAGCACTTCTCCAGATAGGGTTGAATGAAAAGACTGCAGCAACAGATACAATCAGCATCTCCATGAACTTGAGGCTCCTCTGGGGTAAAGCAGACTCTCTATAATCCCAAGGATTTGTAAAAGGGGAAATCACCACTATCTCTCCCCCAACTCTGCACCCAGCCAAGCCTAAACCTCCTGAAGAAGCCAGAGTGAGCATGAGGGCGTACCACCTTTGATACAGCCACTAAACCAACCCTGAGGTTCCTTAAAGGGGAGGTTGCCCAACCCTACCCACACCCTTGTGGTGGTACATCAGGGTTGGGTCCTGAGATATAACACCCCACTCCATCCCCATTAGCTGGAACCCAAAGTGCCTAGTGCCATTTGAGTCTCCCACTGTTTCTTGTTTTATGAAAAGACTACTTTC